GGCTGCTTCACTAAACGAGAACTCCTGGCTTTCGTTGTGGGTCAGTGCCTCGGTGCTGCTCACCCGGGATGGCTTGAGGAACACCTTGGGCTCGATATCCAGCTCAAACTGTTGGAAAACCATGGCAGGGAAAGTCATGTTAGCGGTCACTTCAGCTCCCATCCTCTGTGCTCCCTCTGTGCCCCCAGCAAAGGCCTCTACCACCAAAAGGAGGACAAGAGAGGCCACTTTCTCAGGCTTTACTTTCTATCTTAAACCATCAGAGGCTAACGTGGAGATTCAGGAAAAGCCAAGGAACATGCTGTTTCCAGGTGACCGAGAGATCACAAAGGGACTGTGGCATACTTAAGATGACTGCACTAACAAACTATTTCTCCCCAAACCAACAACCAATTCTTTCTGTGTACACAGGGAATGCATCTTTACCTTGATAGAGCTGTTTTCAAACATATCCACAGTCATTTCCTCCTCTTCCTCCTCCTCTTCCTCAGCTGCAGATTCAACTACCATTCCTGGGAACTTCTCAACACCACAGAATTGCAGGAAGATGGGGGCTCGGCTCGAGTTGCGCTGTATTTCCACCCGCAAGATGCCATCGCGTGGCCATTTATCTCGCACGTGCTCCAAGCAGTTAATGGGCGAGCGGGAGAAGGCGATGTGAATGTAAGCCAGGATGAAGAGCACAAAGAGGGCCTACACACAGCAAGAAACACAGCAGAGACCATCAGCCCAACCAACCTTGGCCTTTTTACAGGACCCCCAGTTTTAACCATCTCTACTTTGCCCATAAAGACACCAGATTAATTTCAACAAATGGATTTGCAAGTGGACAAGAGCTTGCTTTCCAACCCCTGTGGTCTCTGCATCAACAACAAAGCAGCCCAGAATCAGGCAATTTCAGCACTAGTGTTTCAACAGGGGAACACACCAAAGACAGCAGCAAAAACAATGTCCTTGTGTTCACAAGACCAGCGCTGCCACCGATACCTGTGCAGTACATGTATCCTGCTGAAAGCACAGGTCACCTGCACAGGCCCCAGTGTCGTGTAAGGTCCTGCAAAAGTCCCCAAAATGACTGCACTGCAGGCAAACTGACCAAACACAGCACCAACTTGTGATGAGGCTCCAAAGCATATTGAAAGAAACAGAAACGCATCTGTGGCTTTCAACCATTCCCTCCTCAGCACAAAGTGTTTCCTGTTGAAGCCTGGAAAAGACTGCCCAACTTTATGAAGGCAGACTAAAGCAAACCTCAACAAAAGATAACCCACCACAAGAGCAGGACAACCCAAACCCACAGCAGAACCGCCAGCATCACATTCAGATCCACCGCTTGCTGCTGCAAGGTACGGACTCTGCCATGGCAGAGGTCGAGCTGGCCTGCCGGGGCTGGGCTTGTGGAGCATCACCACACCCCAGCCCTGGCTCACTCCAAGAACAGCTATAAAGCCACAGCAAAACAAAGTGGACTAAAAAAATTTGCTCCCTTTAGCAAAGATAGTAAATCTAGCAGGATGTTACCCAACACTGTTCACAGCTGAAAGCTCCGAGAAACGATGGTACAGTAAGCGGTACAACTGTGTTTCAAAGACTCACTTTCCAACTGCATTAAGATGCTCATTCCTAATTAAACTAGCTGTCCTTGCTACGTATCGTTCTTGACCTATTTGCTATGAATAAACAGACTGGTAAACATCACATCTGCAGAGGAGCTGCATAGGAAGACGCTAGAGAAGGTAAATCAGCAACACCTCCTTCGTCACAGAAGGAGTCGCAACGAAGCCAGCAGAACCACAAGCAGTTTCAGGGCTCTGTGAACAGTGGTGCGCAGGACCATGTTCTGTGGCTTCACCTCCTACCAGTACCCTGCGCACAGAGCCGAGACCAGGCTGGAGTCTGGCTGACTCCTAACCCTGCTGGCGGGAGCAGGCTGTTCTCTGCAGATGCCCTGTGAATAGTCTTTACTTCCTCAGGAGTGCTTTGATCAAAAGCAGACAGCAGCAAGAACCGCTACCAGCCAGACTGCTCGCTCTGCCTGACAGCCTCACCGTTAGCACCATCCCCATTGCAGTCTCCCTCTCTGCCTGAATCCAGTTATACAACCGGGGAAAAAAGGAGAGAGATGTTAAAACCTTGAACATTTCTTGGGAGGGGAGAAAATGTTATCTGTGCAGTATGAGACAAGCTGTCCTAAATGTTTTCTTGCTTTATGCGGCTGAGTTTTAGAAACTCAGAGCAGAAGCATGCTGTTGACACCTGGCAAGCTCCTCTCCCCACTTCCCCTTACTCTGATTTCCCAGACTGGTGCTTTGTGCTCTGGAAGCCACGGTGCAGGATTAAACCTACGGGCAACTGACAGGCCCCTCTGTGGGTTTCCAATCCTGCACCCGCACCAACAAGAAAGTGAGCAGTTTTTACCCTGTTACGCAGGGATGTGATACTGCACCAGCACAGCTGAGGGTGCTGACTGCTAAAAAGTAGTAAGGTTAAAATGGGGTTATGCATTAATTGCTTCTAGAAAAGACAAGGCTCCAACAAAACACCAACAACCAAATATCTCACATATGCAATACATCCAAAAAGAGTGATTGCTTGGAAAGAGAAATAGAAATCTTTCATGCCCGCATCCCTGGACCTGACCCACACCAGCCTGGCTGCCCATCAAGCTGGCTCAGCAATTTCTTTTTTATTTCCAGATCTGGTACCACAGCTCTTGTGGTGTGGGGACCTCCACAGATCGTTACGACTATTCACATCTTTCTCACAGAAGAGCGGCCCACGGGAGCTCAGTGGGCAGCTTGGGGTAGGTGGCCCAAACACAGGCTGTAACCTCTAGCAGAGCCAAGCTTTTTTATGTATATAAGCAAATTTATGCCTTAGTGCCCGACTGCAGGCTAGCAAGAGGAATGTCCACTCCTCCCCGTAAAGCCGCCCCTCACCTTGAGGAGGACAAAGAACTCGAAGACGCGTCGGAAGGAGGGTGGGAAAAGGCGAGCGTAGGTCACTGCCATCTTGAAGAAGAGTGCGTGGAAGAGGCGATCGCGCACATTGATCAAGGGGTTCTGGTTGAGGTTGGGGTTGCGGACGCCCCGGTTGTTCCCCCCGGCAGCCCCGCCGCCGCCGTTGTTGTTGGCCGGGTGGTGGTTGTTGGCGTTCGGCTGGTTCTCGGACATCCTGACGCCTGCGGCTGGGAGCCGAAGGGCGCTGGCGGCGCTGACCTGGGCCGGAGGGGACCTCGGGGCGAGAGTCAAGCGTTGCCTCGGCGGGGCCGGGAGCTGCTCGGTGCGGAGCGCCGGGCGGGCGCTGCCCCTGTCCCGCTCGCCTCAGGGGTCGCCG